AGGTGAGCCGGTGGGGAAGAAGGGAGCGCGTAAGGCGACCCTTCCTCTCTCCGCCGGTGTCAACCTGCGGCAGACCCTCGCCATTGCGCTGCAAGGCCTCGCCTTCGGATGCGAAGGAAAAACAGGTGGGCGGGACCCCGAGACTTCACCTCGGCCCCCAATTCACTCCTTCCGCGGGGGGGATAGCAAGAAAGGAGGAGAAGGGGGGGAGGACGCCTTCGGAAAACCTCGCACCAACCAGAGGCGGAGGGGCGCGGCTAAACTCTCCGCCCCCCTCGCCTGACTATATAATGAAGCTGAAGTTTAACCTACTGGTGAGATACACCGTGGAGTTGGGCAGGCTTCTGGCGAGGAGGGGGCGGCCCGGCTGGAATTGATGCGCCCGGAGTTGAGGGCGCGTTTGCGAGCAGCGGGCGGGTCGGCCGACTCGAGGGGAAGGAGAGACGCGGGAGAAGGCAAGGAGCGGACGCCGCGCCGGGGCTGCTTTTGTTCCGTCGAGCGGACGCCTGCTTCGCGCATTTTGCAGCCGCCCCTTCGGATCGCCGCCTTTGGGGTGCGTGCCCGAGGAGGCGCCTTTTGGGGTAAACCGCGCGCGAGGAATGACACGGCCGGGGGAGAAGTCTCTGCTCTGCCTTCGGTTCAGCGACGGGGCCGTTTCCTCTCGCTCGCCGCCCGGCCTCTCCGCTGCGCACCGAGCGCTCGGCAGGCTGCATTGTTTGACTCGGGCGCCGGGAGGGAAGGGTTAAACGAGCGTGTTCGCGAAGTGCTGATCTTTGTGCTGGCGGAATGTGCCGGAGCGGGAGCTACCTCGCCGGGCGGAGGGAAGGGGGAAGGGGTGGCGATTGCCGGAGGGCTAAAACCAGAAGACGGGCGCTCGGAGCACCAAAGCGCCGCCACCGGGCTCGGAAAACCGAGTCTTTGGGAGCGCTGGCCAGGAGAGGCGCGAACGCGAAATAGGTCCCTGGTTTTCAGCGGCGTTGATGTTTTTCAAACGGAGCTGGTGCACGTATCGGTTAGACATGCGAATTGGGGTGCGCTCGGGGGCTTGCAGGCTGAGAGGAGCGGGGAAGGAACCAGCAAGGGGGACGGCGGAGGAAGCGAAAGAGCCGCTGAACTCCCCAGCCTGGTGCGCCTGGGAGAGTGTTCATCTCCGTCGCTACGAGCGGCCCGCTCCCCTCCTCGGCAGCCCCCTGCCCTGCCGCTAGGGGGCATCACAAAACCCCCAAGGAATTAAATGCCCAACTTTTATCAATCGCTGCGTAACTTTGATGAACGCGCCTTTGTAAATGGCTTACCGGCCGAAGGGGAAAAGAGGGCCAGCAAACAAGTTGGTGGTTCCTTTTACAGCTAGGAATCTGTGAGGGGATAAGGGCAATGAGCTCCATAAGACTCTTGATTTCTCTTGACAAAAAGAAGGCCACTGTTCACACAGCATGTATGGTTCACTGAGTATACCTTAATTTTCTCCTCTATTCAGCTCGGTGCTCGGAAACCTCTGTAGCTGGGTTCACACAATTTGCAGAGTCTGAACAAATCACTCTGCAGCTTAAGTGTATTGTATGAATATATACACCAGTGTGTCTCAACCTTGGCAACTTGAAGATGTGTGGACTTCAACTCCCAGAATTCCCTAGCCAGCCTGTATACCAGTGTACACTGGTATATACACTCTAACAGAGTTGGTAGGCTGGAAGGTGCATTTTTGTCCCCCCCCCCAATTCAGTGGGTCCCCCTCCTTGCTCTTGGCCAGCTGGAGGATCATACCCACTTTGGGGCAGGAGAAGATAGCCTGGCTTCCTTGAAGTGTTTATGCAACATGCTGATCCAGATCAGTTAAAAGCATAATTTGGGATTAAACGCAGCAATGCATTTTTAACCTTGGTTTGGGGTGGGGAGGGAAGGGGCTGTAGCATCTTCCGTCAGCCTAGCCTCTTAATGTATGGTGCAAACCCAGAAATGGGTTAGCATAAGAACCTGATTGTGTTGTGAGAACACAGTACCTAATAGTAAAACCACTGTGCTGACTGGAGTGTATGGGAAATGTAACTCAGATAACTGAAGGACATTGTATGGCAGATCTGTGTCATTTCTATAGTGGGTTTGCCAGATGCATTTATCCCCAGTTAACAATCATAGTCATAGTTGCTCATCTGATTTTCTGGGTTCACCCAGTACTCTAGGCCAAAATGTGGTTTGCTGTTCAGACTGTGTGATGCCTCTGCTCAGAAGCAGTGTTTCTCCAAATGAAACGTCTGAAAAGGGAATAGTAATAGGGTGCAGGTTGTTCTAAGGGTTTCTCAAAATCATCTGTACCCTGTGGAGAGTGGGCTCTGAATGTCATCTTTGAGCTAAAGCGTTGGACTTTGCGAGTCTTATTGTGATTTCCTACTCCAGCTCTCTCCCTGCCACATGGACTGAGGGGGCAGGGGGGAGTCCCTGCCATCTGCTGCCACTGTGGACAAGAAAGGCTGGAATTATCTGTATGCGTGCCTGTCTTTGCTCCATTGAATGAGCTCTGGCCCATTGCTTGGGGAAACATCTGCAGCTGTCCAGAGCTGCGGTTACTCTTCAGCTTTATGTCCCCCTGTCCTAATCTTAACATGAATGTTCAGAAGCAAGAGTTTAAATCCAGCTCAGCTGTGAAGCCCGCTGAGTAATTTGGGGCCAGTTGAAGAGATGCAGTATGCTGCTTTGAAATCCCCAGGAAAAGTAGCAAGAAAAGGTTTTCAGGAGTCTTTAGCTTGGTAGCAGCACATGCGTTTTTATCTTGAAAGATTCCTAGATCAAATCTCAGCATCTCTGAATAGGGTTAGGGAAGAGTTCAGTCTAAAGCACCTGGAAAATGGCTATTAGTCAGTCTGCACCTACAATCTAGTGGTTATTAAATGTGACTGAATTCAGGGAGGTGCATCCTCAACATGTCTGGAATATGTCAAGTTGGGCAGGGGTAGTAGACACTATCAACTAAATGGGCCACGCAGGACAGCTTGTGTAGAGTAAGGGAGCTGACCCTGATAGAAATATGCAGGAGGGGGCTGAAGCCTTCTTTAAGCCCTGAGAAACAAGATAATATTAAGAAGTTGCTCAGGCTAAGGTACCACACAATCAGACTTTCAATTGTCTATCTCAGTATCAATAAAATGTAAAGTGTAGTTCTGATCTTCCTGTGGAGTTTCTGGCCTGACCCATCTGATGGGGCTGATGTTGTGACATTCCTCATTTAGACCACTTTGGAGAGTCAAAATGCACCAGGGTTGCCTTTGATACATTGGAATTGAAGACAGCCGGCATGCATGACTTTGTTACCTTCTCCCATCTGAAAAGTAACCTGATCCAGACTAGTTAGAAATATGGCAAAGTAGCTGAACCATTCCTCCTTTCTTTGAGTTCCAAACACCAATTGCTACCAGCAGAGCCTTTAGAGTTCATAGCAGTGAGCTATTAGGCCAGCCTTCTAACCTGCACTCTTTGTCTTGCAGTGCCCTGATTGTGATGGCTGATCACATGATGATGTCAATGAGCCATGGCATGAATGGCCTCCAGAGCTACCGGATAGGTATGAATGGGATGCAAGCCCTGCCACAGCATGGACAGCAGCATGTGCTAAGGACGCTCCCTCCCAACCACCAGATGATGCAGTATGGAGGCCCTGCTATGGATGGAGGAATGAGGCAGAGGCCAGGCATTAATGGTCAGATGGGTCACCACCAGGTGCCGAACACTGTGATGTTCAACAATCCAAGCCAACAACAACAGTATATGGGACCTGTGGGTACCCAGCAACTTATGGCAAGTATGCACTTGCAGAAACTCAACACTCAGTATCAGGGCCATCCTCTCCTAGGCATGAGTGCTGGCCCTGTTGGACCAGGTGCACAGCAGTACAGGATGGGCCCAGGACAGCACCCGGGCATGCAACACTTGCCCTCCCCTGCTTTGACCTTGAATGTTATGGACACGGATCTTATTGATGAGGAGGTCTTGACTTCTTTGGTTATGGAGCTGGGCTTGGACCGCATTCAGGAGCTGCCAGAGCTCTTTCTGGGACAGAATGAGTTTGACTTCATCTCAGACTTTGTTAACAAACAGCAGCCTAGCGCAATCAGCTGTTGAGCGGCTCTGCTGAGAAGCAGGCCTCTCTTCGTGTGGCTTGATTGTGATACATGCCTGCCTCTGACGTTCTCATTTTTGCCTGTACATAAGTATACAGCATTTCCCAGCTCATCTTTGCCCATGGCTTGAAAAAAACAATAGACAATCACCAGAGGCTTTTTTTCTCCTTTTTTTTTTCTTGCACTACCTTGCTGCTTCTCACAAGGGAGTGTGGCTTTTTCTTGTGCTGTTCGCAGAGAGGGTGGCTGCAAGGCTTCTGCAGATGGAAAATGAATAGCAGTTACAGAACTTCAGCCATTCAGGAAAGAGCCTGTCCCTTCAAAACTATTCTGCATTCGGACTGCAAACGATAAGAGGGGTGGGTTTCAGAGGCTGAGATCTGCTCTGCTGTCCTCCTCTGATGGCAGAACAAGCTGTTTCCAAAAGCATCTCTCCTTTAGGGATGGCGGTGATGGGTTTTAGCCTGTTCTTTCCCTGAAACATGAATGGGTGGGAGATATTCCTCACTGTTTCTCCTGCCTTATTGCCCCTCAATACTGTGAAATCTGCAATCATCTCTCCTTTTTTTACTTGAAGATATCACTGGCCTCAGGTTGGGGTTTTTTTGTTCTGTTCTCTTTTCCTTTCTTGTAATTGCATTCCTTCATTTTGTATTATGTTGGCAGGAGTTTCTGGGGGATAGCTGGCATGTGTGTCCAAATGACAAATTTTCAAGGTTAGGTCACTTGTGATGGGGAAGACCAACTGATTAGCATTTCTTGTTAGGCTGCTACAAACATGAGCTTTAAGCTGCCCTCTAGCTCCTTTTCTGCCTCTGAAACCAAATAAAATAACCTTGTAATTGTTGTGTATATTTCTAATTTTTGAAAGGAAAAAAAACCTTTGATGTATTTCTATTTATTTGGAAGGGCTCACACTATGTTGCCTTTTGAAATTACTGAGAAGGGCTAAAGACACTGAAGTGCATGTCCCTCCAAACTTTTTTGTTATCTCTAATTAAGAGGAAGAATGTTTTGTTTGAATGAAAAAATGATTTGATAGCTTGTTGCCCTCTGGGGGCTTGACTTTTTAAGTTTTGATTTTGTTTCTCAAAAAAATGGTGTGGATAGCAGTTTTATTTCTATTTTCAAATGCTACAGCAGAAAGTTCAGTAGAGTGGAGATTTGCTAAGGCCCCTTCTGTTTGCAGACACACATCACTGTTGATTAATGAAGTGAAAATGTACAGGTGATTTTGTTTTTCTCCAAATAAAAGTTAACCCCTCAAATTTAAGATGCTTGTTTGGGTTTGTGTCTTAATTAAAATATCCATGGATAAGAAAATGTTTCTGGAGTTGGAATTCAGTATGGACAAAAGGTCTATAACATTCTACTTTTTAAATTTTTCTGTCTTGACCTACCAGATGTCTGCTATTTCTGTAAGTATATGACATCCCCAAATCCTTAAGACATCTATTTTTCAGCTTCTTTTTCAATTGCCTCCTGAGATTAACCTGATTTTGCACATGGCATTAAGCCATGCTTTGTTTAACCATAGTTGGCTGGGTTTGTAGACAATGGTAGCTATAAACCACCATTGTTGGGTTCAGTAGGCTAAACCAAACCTAAACAAGCCACAAGCAAAAACACTTCATAGGTGTAGACATAAACTTTGTCTGACACCCTGGAAGATATCAATAGAGAGACCCTATCCAACTGCCAGATGGACTACAATTCATTGTTGTATGCTGCCCAGAGTCACTTTGTGTGAGATGGGCGGCTATATAAATAAGGTAAATAAATAAATAAATTCCCATTAGTCGGGCTAACTTGATGGAAAGGTGAAATCCATAATATCTGGAGAGCACCAAGTGGGGAAGGCTGTTGTAGGAAACTGGGATAGGTGACCTAGTGTTTTGACTCCATTTGTGCAGCTCATAAGAAGCTTTTGGAGCAATTAAACCTAGTTAAGTGGTTATGCAGGTAAACCACAGATGTTACTGCTATTTAAATGAGAATAGGGAACTGAAGCAATCAGTACAAACTAGGGTCAGCCTGAGGTTCCCTAATGTGTTGAGATCTGCCTAGAAATTCTGGAAGTTGTACTTGAACACACCTGATGAGTGGGAGGTTAGGAAACCTCAACTCACCTGTGTCTGATCATAAGAATAAATGAAATTATTATGTTAGTGATGCTTTCCATGATTGTCTGCCACAATCTTAAATAATGACTTTCCTAAAAATCCAGCTTGCTGGTACCTTCTGATAATGACCAAAATCCTCGATCTTTCAGGATGGATGTATTGCTATTAAGTAACTGATTGGATTTTTATAGGCATTTTGCAGTAGTATTTTGGCATCTATGGTCTATGGACTAACAGTTTTGACACCATGGCTAATCTTGAAAAAAGATAACAAGTCAGATCTGGTTAGTTATTGGATGAGAGACCACCAAGTAATCACAGGACTGGGTTGGGAAGCTGGGAAAAAAATCCTGGAAAAAGGCAGTAGCAAATCATTTCCATTCTGTTGCCAAAAACCCTTAATGGATGTGCCCCCAAAGGTTACCAAAAGTCAAGCTAATTAATGTGTGGTTTGCAATTTGTTTATGTGGTTTAATATGATGTGCAAAACCAGCCAATTGTAGCTTAAATAAGATTGCTTAGGGCACTCACTTTGTGGTCTCCCAAATCCCCCGGAGTAAGGTGGACGGGCAAAATTTGGCTTGGAGAGGTATGGGGTATAAAGCTTAAATGCATGCCTTAAATTTTCAGAAGACTCTTTAAAAACAACATCCCCCCCCCAATTTTGCCCCTTAAAACTTCCCAACCAATGGAGATTTACTCAGCAAACCAAGTTTTTTTGTGAGTGTGTATCCAGATGGTAGTGCTTGCTTCTGCCTGCATTCTCTTTTGGTAACAAACAGTTGGAACACTTAATCATTGGAAGCTTAATGGCACCTGAAAAAGTTAACTACAAAGGAAGAATATTAATATTTTAAGGAAATTTATAGTTAATATTGGGGATGGGGGCAAGCTTGAGGTGTTGAAGTGAGCTAGAAGAGGAAATATATTTATTTTGGGTTTTTAAATTGTGCTTATCTAGGCTCAGAAGAAAGGAAAATTTGCCAAAGACTCCTGTCGGATTTATACACGAGGCTAAGCCAAAACCAAGCAAACCATATTATGGTGTAGTGTGAATGCAGTCCTGATATTTAGACTCTAACTTGGTTCACACAGTATAATAAACTGTATGTGCTTTGCTTGTTTGCTTTGTGTGCAAATAGCAATCTAGCTATTCTGATTTGGAAGTCAGGATTTATGGCTTAGTGTGATGTCTGAAACCAACCAATTTGGCTTACAATGGTTAGGCACAGTGTGGTTTGATGCAATATCCTTTGTTATTCACCTATTTCAAAACAAAAGTAAAACACCCCTGGAGTCTAAACGTGGATTTCTCTCCATGCAAAAACAGGCATCCTGTTGTTCAGTTTATGCAGAAAAATGGTCAGTCTAAAAATGCCCTGCCAAACCATAATGTAGTTTGCTTGTTTGTGTCCTCCTGTTTTGTGGTTTGTCAAGCAGAGTTTAGACTTGAATTTGCTGGGTAAATTCATCCAATTGAGACTTATTTGATAAAGCATTGGTTAATTTTAGGACTACGCCATGGGATCAAAAAGCAGGTAGAACTAGATCCTGGTTTCTCCAGGACACAGATTGTTTTTGTTAATGTGTGACTTTGCAACCTCCTTTCTGCCTTAAAAATAATGGCAACTACACACTGTTTTGAGCTTGGCACCTTCTCTTTGTTGTTGGCTACCAGTCAAGATACACAGACTCCTGCCTGCTGCATAACAACAGGAAATACTAATGACAAAAGGCCACTTCATGTGCTCCTTGGCCTGGAACAATTGCTCATTGAGAGGATTATCTCTGCTCCTCTTTCACTCTAACAGAGTCCTCTGCAGTCAGTTGCTTTAGTTACTGCCAGGTATGTGAACTGGAGCGGTCCTCCAGGCCAAACAGCTTGTGCCAGATTGTTTTCCCATGCTCCATCTCTGCCTGTTTTCACAGTCATCCCTTCAAATCTCTGGAGAGATGCAAAACTATTGACATAGCAAAAGTTCACTATATGCTTCAGAGTTAGTGAGGGGTAGGAGGAAGATCCATCAAAACCACTTTCTCGTCTGGCTCCAAGCCATGTTGCAAAGTGCAGGTTCAAACAAAGTATTAAGCCATAGTTTACTGAACTGGGCTTTATTGAATTGACCACAATTGGCTACATAACAGTTAAACTGTTGCACTTGAGCCACTGATGCTGTACAACACAAACTATAATCCTAACCTGGATAGATGTTTGTGCTGCTAATTATCCTACCTCTTTTTAGCCAAGTTTGGTTTATCTTGATGGACACCTCTTTCTTGCTATTTCTTTTGGGTAACAGTTTGTCTCTGAATTGCAGAAATTATGTCCATCTTGGAAAAAAACCCTATTTCTGTATCTATGAGAGGTGAGATCATAGACGAGTCCCTCTGCTTTGCACGCAGAAAGCCACAGGTCTCTGTCATCTTCAGTTAAAGGATCAGGTAGTCAAAGATGGAGGAGACCCTGAAGAACTAGGACCTGAGTATTAGTCTATGATGGTCAAAGAATATGGCTAGCTGGTAACTAGAAGGAAAAGCTGGAAGTGGTTCTTTACATTTACTATATCCTGTTGTCCTGCTTCCATGATGCATTTGGGAGGCCACTATAAAAAACAGGGCATTGCTCAGGTCCAGCAGAGTTGCTAATAAGTTCTTAACTTCAACCATCTGCTTTCAACGCCATGTTCCTCAGGCACAAATGAAATCAAACATCTCCAGAGCTGTCTTAAAGCCATAATTTTTAGGACAGTGGAGCTACTGTATTCTTGTATTCTTTTTAAACCGGCTGGCCATTGGTTCTATTTCCTAGCGTAACATTGTGAAATGTATCGCATATAGCATATGTGCCCTGTCAGCTCTATTTCACACATTGTTCTCTTTCTCATATACATACACTTGCAGGTGAGATCTACCTAGATGGAACAAGTTATTCCAGGATAACTGGACAATCAGGAAATAATTTGCTTCCCATCTTAGAAAGCATACAGAGTTTTTGAAGTTGCACACAGTAATTTGTAATCAACATAGCTTTCCAAATAATGTTGCCGTCTTGGAAGGCATTTTATTTTCCATTTGTTGCTAGGGTTCAATCTTGCTGGCTCAGCCTGGGCAATCTCCTCCAGGTCCTAACAGAAACTGGGATGAACAAGCCTGGACAGCCCTAAGGAATATACTGTACAAAATTCAGCATTGCTTCAGACTGCCATTTAGGGTGGACTGAACGTTCCTTGTTACCGTTCTAATGAGCTTTTCCACCTAGCACTTTTTTAAAGAGTTCTATGCATGACACTGGTGTGTGGGGGGGTGCTTTTCTCTCTAGGTCTGCAACAGCCCCACATAAATAGGACAATATTGCTTTTATGTCTATCAACAGTTCATCAGACTTGAATGCATCATTTTCAAATCAAGAGGTTTGTCCTGTTATACTATTGGTGACAGAAAGACACAAAACTTGATCTATATATGTTCTTTCAAGAAGGGTGAAGTATGGAGAGAACCAGTTGAAAGTGTAGCTGCCTGACTGGCTGTATACACACACAACTTCGTATATACAATTTTGTTAGCCTCCCAAATGTAATGCATAGAACTCTTAAAAAGTGCTAGGTGGAAACGCTTGTTAGAATAGTAACAAGCAGTAAACATAAAGGAGCAAAATATATACAGATTAGATTTATTTGCATGTCATACAGTATATAGGTTACAGAATTCATATATATGGACCTACTTTTCCTATCCCAAAATTTAGTTACTTTGGAACAGAATTCTGATAGTTTAGCAAGTAATACTAATGTAAAGTGTACAATACCATCTGCACAGCTCAACAGTGTTATATATAACTTAGCAGTAGTTGGCTAGCTTGGCACATTCAGATGAATTCTAGGAAATACTGGCAAATGCCATTTTAAAACTCGGCTGCTTTCATATTCCAGTGTTGCTACATGAAATGTCCCAGGTGATGACAGCATAAAAATGGAGGGAAATGTTCCTAGGGCAAAGGATAAATGGCTTTATGTTGTATATCAATAATGCATTAGGTAATCAAACTAATGTTAAGAAGGATCAGCCATGTATTCCAAAAGGCTGGTTTCAGCCATATACAGCACAAATTGAACTACTTGCTATACCTTTCTCTTTGGACACAGCGCAGGGA